TTTTATCGTATGTGGGTTTACCACTTCCAGACTTAATCAACTTTTCTCTCAAACTTGAATGCCATTTCATCAGAATCGGGGTTTGCTTCTTTACGTCAGCTTGGCGCTTACGTTAAACACACAGCATGCGGATCTTATTTTTCCTTATGAAATGAGTGACTATTGATTTTGGCAATCTGTCAGCATTCGGGCTTTGTTGTAGATGAATTTGATTTGCTTGGACATAAACCACTCAAAGTTAACTTTTAGCCTCTTTTTTCTTGCTTCGGAGAATTTGTCATAAAGTTTGTTAAACAAAGCTTTGTGTTTGTCGCCTCTTCGGCATTTCCTGAATAACGCGTTTTTCTTTTTTTCGTTGTACTTGTTGTAGATTTCTTTTTTCTTTGATTTTCATCGCGTAATCATACTCTTATGAACGTTATACTTTTTTGCTACATCCCTACTTAACATACCATCGTTTAAGTCATTTAGCGCATCAACCTTTCCTTTTAACGTATAGCTCATCCGTTTGTCAGCAATTTTTGGTAATTCGTTAGCTTCAACATCAGTAACAAGCTTCTCTAAAACCGATTTCACAGTTTTTTCAATATTATCGTACTTGTTCTTTCCATCAATGATTTGATCCAAGCTCATTGATTTCGGGTCTTTGTCAGTTTGAGCAATATCCGTATGTGAAAACTTATTTTTACACCAAAACTCGTGCATCGAAAGGGCTTGTGATTTTTTCAGTGATTTTTTGCAAACAATACATTCAAACAAATTATCTTCTTTTTCCTTCGGCACTACATTTACCAACTCACCACGATGACAAATCTTTTTGGTAAAACCAAAGTTGAACAAATTTGTCTGCTTTCTTTTACTCATGATCTTGACAGCGTTGTCAACAACATACACAACAACAACACTACTGTGATTACTTTCTTTTGAAATCGTTCATCTAAAAGAAGTCATTACATTGCAGAGAAAAAAATTGCAATTTATGAGTTGCTTATGTTAACATTTGTTCAGAACTCAAGTTGCTTAATATTTTTTCACATCGAGTTGCTTATAAACGAGTTGCTTATACAAAAAAAATCGTGTAATGGCGAGACTAGCTCAATCATATAGTCTAAATTTCGATTAAAAATTCTTAACATCAAGCTGAACTTTCTCTAAAACACGTAGGACTCTTTAAAAAAACCGATGAACTTTATGAAACTATTTTAGACACGTGAAGTGTGGCTGGATAGCTCATTGTTTAGAGTGTCAAACAAAAAGTTACCCGGACTGTTGTACGATACGGGTTCAAATCCTGCCACCACAAACTCCGCTTGAGTAGTACTTTGTACGCAAAAATGTTGGTCAATAACGAACGCTACATTGGATTAGTCTTAATGACTATTTGTGGCTGTTCCTATGCTTAGCCAACAAGGTCATTCCACGCCAAGTGGTCAAGAGGTCCCCGCTCTACTATCTCCAATTTTCATAAAATTTTGTCAGTATGTTGTTAAACATGTTTCATAAACATTGCCAAATTTTTAGATTAAAATGTTTATTATTTTGGGTTTTGTGGTACTTTTTGTAAGGCTTACCCAAACTTCAATATCAGTCTGTAAAAACTGCTTTTTTGGGGTCTTATATTTTCGTAATGAACGGATAATATATCTTAAAAACGTGTAAAACGAAGTTTTACTTCTTAGTAAAACGAAGGTTGAGATTACAAAAAAATTATTTTAAGTTTCATATTATGCCTACATTTTAGTCTATGCTTCACCAAATACCGTCACAAATCAACACCATAAATATTTTCTGTTTTTTGTAGGGTCATATCTCCAGAACAAAAGATTTTTTAGTATTGTTATTTTGTTTACAGGTTCTACATACTATCATACACAAATACGATGAGTACCTGACGATCTAACAGATATACACCATTTTGGACGTAACTCACAAAATTTAGAAAATCCAACTTCAGCCCCATTTTCTTTTTTATACTCCAAAAAAGTTCCTATAAATTAACTAACAGTAATTTTTTTTGCATGTGCACTTTTTTAGCACCAATGCGCACAGATACAAAATCCTTTTGGTGATAAACCACTAAGAACAGCTATTTTTTTTGCAACTGTTCTTTGCACTTTCCGAATTTTACCTTTTACATAACTAGCATGATCTCTCTTACTAACACGTTTTCTTAAAGGCGATATTCCAATCTCAGAAAGGCTAGTATTAATAGTGTAAGTTGAACAAAATATATCAACTATGTCACCAATGTCGTCAGTTCTTTCACTTGAAGAATTTCTGGTTGAATAAGCTTTGCGGCAATTCGGACACAATTTTTGACCTGGAAAAATAAAGTCAGTTAAGGTGGAAACAAATTAAAGTAATATTTTTAATCAAATTATAAGTTCGCCTGACAATCATACTCTGTTCTTCGTTCGAAAGTTCTGAGCAAAAGTCAATAAAACCCTTTTTTCGTGAATAAGTACTTAAATGACATAAACTTCCGTCAAATTTTCCAATACAACAAATACTTAAGTTTTGATGGCGGACTTGTACACGACGCACCCTCTATGAAATATTAATACCAAAAATGTCTCAATTCTTACGGTCAATTAATGAATGTATGTTTCGTTGTGTTAATCCCTATTTATTAGTCAAAACATTTACATTTAATTTCATTCATCACTTATGATAAATTGAGGTAATTACACTTTAACTAATTAAATTAATTAATTATACTTGTTCAGTAAAATACCATTTTCGATAAAACGTGTTTTAAACTTAAGGGGGTGCGTTGTGTAGAAGTCCGCCGTTTTGATCAACAGACATGTCAGGATAAGTTAAAAATAACTCATTCTAAAATTCAATTCTAATTTTTGTCTTCCAATATGAGATGTTTGTAATGAACTTAAATATTTGAAATTAATTTAGTGAGATTTGTCTGTAGAATAAAAATATACTTACTTACTAAAATTAGCTCTACATGGCTATAGTTAATTTACGGACCTTAATATCGTTTTTAAAATATCATAGACTTAGCTAACCTAGCTCATAAAAACTAAATTTTTTTAGTTCATAGGAAAAATCTCTCCAAAATGGTTTTTATTGTTTCTAGAAGTATGAAGTAAGCTCTTTCCAATAATGCAATTAAAAAAACAAAAAAAAATTTGCCTATATTGATTTTTAGGGCTTCAAACACACATTATTTTAGGGTATTTCACTTTTGTCCTATTTTGCTTTCAAAATAACTGAGAAAAGACGTTTATAAAAAAGCTGATTTTTAATCCATATTATTATGATAGTATATAGAGCCTTTTAACAAAATAAAAGTACTAAAAAATCTTTTGTTCTGGAGATATGACCCTACAAAAAACAGAAAAAATTTATGATGTTGAATTTGTGACGGTATTTGGTGAAGCATAGACTAAAATGTAGGCATAATATAAAACTTAAAATAATTTTTTTGTAATCTCCACCTTAGGTTTATTAAGAAACCACGTTTTCAAGATATAATATCCGTTTATTACGAAAATATAAGACTCCAAAAATGCAGTTTTTAGCTACAGAGTGATATTGAAGTTTGGGTATGCCTTACAAAAAGTACCACAAAACCTGAATTAATAAATATTTTAATCGAAAAATTTGGCAATGTTTATGAAACATGTTTAACAACATATTGACAAAATTTTATTAAAATTGGAGATGATCGAGCGGGAAAGATTTCGGAAATTGGACCATTTGGCGTGGAATGACCCAACCATATCTTCAGTCAATATATATATATATATATATATATATATATATATATATATATATATATATATATATATATATATATATATATATATTATATATATATATATATATATATATATATATATATATATATATATATATTTATATATATATATACAACATTGTGATGGAACTTAAAGTTTCATACCTATCGGCAATCATTAGCCATATCTGTTCTTAGAATTTTTAAAATTATTAAAGAACGGTTATGTAGCAACTAAATATGATAAATCAAAACAGTTTTGAAATTATTAGAAAAGATTTTTCAGAAACAAACCATCAAAATAACTTTAGTAGTCGTAGCGCAGTGGTAGCGCACTTGCCTCAAGGCAAGACACCACCATGAAACAATGGATCCGTGGTTCAAACCCACCTCTGGGCAAGTTTTGCGACATCGGTTAGGAAGGAGGCGTAAACTTCCAATTAAATGCTCATCCATGGTGCTTTGTAATAAAACCGTAAGGACTTCTTGGGGCACCTAAATAAAATTAAAAAAAGTAAAAATGAAAATAACTTTGAAAAATTTTTTATCAACAGTAATCCAATTAAAAGTAAAGCTTTTCTCATTAATTTGCAACCATGCGCACAAAGAATTAATGTGTGTAGTTTTTATGCGTGTGTGTACAAAAATTCTAACTTAGCAGGACTGACTATAAGCAGTTTGAGAATAATTACTGTACTTGTTAGATTATGATTACCTTTAATTTCTTGTGTCCATTTGCTGAGCATTGGATATCGAATTCTTCAGAAATGTAATGAATAATAATTTTACCTGTCTTCCAAGATTTTGATAACTGATTGGCTTTGTTTATACTTAATATTTAGCTACTGAGGCAAATTTTAATTGAAATTGATTTGAAATGAAACTCACCTTATTAAATTACTCAGTGATGCGACATAAAGGATTTTTTTAGAATATTCTTAATCGTTATCAGGTTTTCAATTTTTGTCAAAAAAAGTGGCCTTCTCTATTTTCATTCTTACTTTAAATTGCCACATAAAATATGTCTAAAATTTAGAGCTGCACAAAACAATATCAGGTGAAAAACGGGTGAAGTTATTTTTCGATTGTATTCTTTTTTATAATAAATTTCAATTTATATTTACTAAAAAATTTAATATCATACATAAATTTTACGTTTTATTTTAAGCTTTTATTTTATTTAAATTCTTAATATAGTTTCTAGATTTAACAATCATTATAAATTACAAAATTTTCTTTTTAGCATTCGGAATTTTAGTCTTACATATAAAAATACTCAGTTTAATTTACATTATGAACAACTCAACAACTATTAATCAATCTGTCAATCAAACTCAAGGTTGTGAATTACCAAACAATTCATTAGTCTGGCTTGATTTATGTTTGTTTCTAACCATATCGATCGTAGCAACTATTGGAAATATTGTAGTTTTTATTTGTTACTACAAGTTTCAATCTCTACATACTGTTACTAACGTGTTTATGTTATCTTTGTCTGCAAGCGACCTCTTTGTAGCATTATTCTCAATACCCCTCTCTATTTCTTTTTTTATATGTAACCATCTACACAATGAGTTATATTACGTTGGAGATATGACACCGAGTGTTCTTTCGATATACTCTTTAGCACTAGTTGCCGTTGACCGAGCTATAGCGATTGCGTTGCCATATTATCACCAGGAAAAGGTAAGCAGAAAAACAGCTTGGGTTGCAGTAGGAATAACATGGCTATTAATGTTTTCATATACGCTGATAGGGATGAACTTTCATGCAACAAGTTCTAACCAATTTACTGTTTCGGTTGTTTTTATAACTTACGGTTTTCCTGTTACAGTTATGGTTTTATCATATGTAATAATGGGAGTTGTTGCAAAAAAGCACGCAAAAGAATTAAATAAGCTTGATAAAACAATGAACAGATTTCAAAACGATAATCTAAGTAAAAAGAAAAATGCAGATTTAATTATAAATGAAAATTTAAATAAGAAAGGAAAAAATCAACCAACAGATAATCAAGAACTCGTTAGACATTCAACAAAAAACAAAATTTTCAAGAGCAATTCTCTGAACACAACACGACATTTGAGACGCGAGTTGAAAGCAGCATTGACGTTATCATTAATTCTAAGTTGTTTTATAATTAGTTGGACACCATTTATGTCGCTAAACGTTGTATCGCTTTTCACTTCGCCAAACAAAATATTACTTAAGTATTTTAAAATACTTCATTATATAAACTCTGCTTTAAATCCCATTTTATACGTTGTTTTGAATCAGAGGTGGCGGAAGTCCTTTAAAAAGGTATTATGTAAATGGAGAGAAAATAAAAACCTTCGATTTGTACATAGCATTTCAGAAACTGTAAATACTAATGCAAAACCCAGTGGTTGGTGATAAACATTTTCTTTGAAGCGTACCTACTTAAAACTAGACCTATATATATATATATATATATATATATATATATATATATATATATATATATATATATATATATATATATATATATATATATATATATATATATATATATATATATATATATATATATATATATATATATATATGTATTTATATATATGAACATATAAAACTAAATCAAATTTATTAAACATCATTTATTTATAAAAATATTTTATATCCTGGTTAAATTGCTTTCGATGGCAACTTTAGTTTGCTAAATTTTTAAAAGTTTTAAAATTAATGACGGTTTCGTGGCGTATAGGAAACACATTTTATAATTTCGTTAATATTTAGTCAAACATCTACTGTAATCAAAGTTACAAGGTATATGATTATAACCATATATGTAAAAATAAAAATCAAGTTTTCTGAAATTATAACATTCTAAGCAGAATTGATAAACGACGAAAATCTTCTATAAAAGTATTAAATAAATTTAAAATTTCATATTCAAAACGAAGGTTAAAATTGGAAACTTCAACTCTGTAGGCAAAACAATTTTTTTTTTGACACAAAAACTTATAACAAGTAATAACTTTTTTTTGATAAAAAAAAAGTTATTATTTGTTATAAGTTTTTGCCATAATATCGCCATATTTATTGACTTTTTAAAAAATGCTAAACTTATAAATAATTGACGTCTCTTTTTTTGCTAATTCAGCATTAATTATTTCCTATACGCCAAATCTAAACAAATTAATAAAAAAGGAAACCACATTTTCTCAGCATTTTTAATGAAACTGTAAGTTACAATATACGACACTGATAGATTATATAAACAAAACCTTGCTAAAAAAACTAAAAATAATAATTATTTTGAAAATGTTTTTAGTTTTATTAGATTTTAAAATCAGAGGCGATTTTTCAGTGTGTGTGTGTGTGTGTGTGGGGGGGGGGGGAAGGGTTCCACCGTTCCCCTTTTCCCTCCCTAAAGAAAGTTAGTTTCAAGATATAGTCGGGTTTTTTTACGAACTTTGTTGGTTAGTCGGGTATTTGACACAATTTAGTCAGGTAAATTTTAATTTTAATTAATCGGGTAATTTTTTTTCGGAAGCCTTTTTTTAATGTGTATAAGACGTTTAAAAGACGTCTTTTTTACGTTTGTGTTCACTAGGTAGCAAACTATTGTATTTATACAGAAACAACTCTGAAAACGTAAACTTAATTGCATATCTGGTTAAATAGATATAAATGATTTGCTGTTGGTAACATAACTAAAAATTTCATGAAATATTCTATTCAATCTTACTCTTGCTTGCAACATTCTACTCCATCTTTCTCTTGCTTACAACTTTGGTTCAAAATTAGTTTTTTAATTACACAGTCAAATAACTCTTTAATATTTAGTTGTTAGATAAATAAAAAAACAAATTTGGTTGCTAAGGACATAACAAAGAATTTTCTTTACTCATAACCAATAAAATGAAATTTATAAGTTATAAATTTATAATGACCAAACTAAGCCATTATCAGGTAATAGAGCTGTCAAATAATAAAACATGAACAATTCTTATTTGTATATTTTTACACTATAAACCATTTGTTAAGTTTGAGAAGCAGTTTTCTAAATGAATAGATTTTATTCTTGCCCTCAGTGATTACTGCAAAGCGGGCAAGAATAAAGCTAGCTTAGTATATGTCAGGGAGCAGTTACTCGTGTAATAGCCCAGCACTGCTGAATAAACTGCTCACGGGCAGACTGCTCACTTGCATATACTAAGCTAGTATGTATGTAAGCTAGTATAGACTGCTCACTGGCATATACTAAGCTAGTATATATTACATTTACTCTAGCGAGTAAACATAATAGATACTAGCTTATGCTTTGGAAGCCAAAATTTGTAGAAAATACTTTTTAAGTTTCAAAAAAACTGAGTACCTGAACATTTTTATTGTTTTAGCGATTTTTGTTGTTGCAAACTTTTTTGTGCTTAAATTCTATGATGATTTTAAATTTTTAAATTCTACAATGAAACATAAATAAAAGCAGCCATCTTTTTTTATTTAGTTTATTTGTCATGTTTTGATCTGAATAGATGGCGATCAAACGTAAAATAATATTAGTATAAAAAGCGTTACAAAATCAACGATATATATAAAAATAGAAAAATAAGTTGTGAAATTTCTTAAGGGAATATATGAAAAACATAAAAAGAGCTTTCTACAGTTAAAAATGCGGGCAATAATAAAACCTTAAAAAAAAATATACATGATTTTCATATGTTGTCACAAACTTTTTTAAAAATCTTCAAATAAAATGAACTCGTTTGCGTGTCTCTGCCTAAATGTAGACTTTTTTAAACTTCTAGTGTATTTTTGTGCGTCGGTTAAAGTACATAGGTAGATTATATTTTTTTTTTAATGGTAGAGAGAAAATCTTTAAAAATATTAGAGGTTCCAATACCATGTTTATTTAAAAAATTGAATGAAGGTAATGGTAATATGCAAGAAACAACAATTTGGCTTTAAATTAATTGGAAGAAGTAATTTCTTCTTCTGGCCCCAGTTATTTGCATTATGTTTATATATATATATATATATATATATATATATATATATATATATATATATATATATATATATATATATATATATATATATATATATATATATATATATATATATATATATATATATATATATATATATATATATATATATATATATATATATATATATATATATAATAATTGCTGAATTAGATGGATAAAACACTGCATCTAAAAAGAGAAAAACGGTAAAAATTTCAGAGGAAGACACTTCCTGCCTCTACTGTTAAAAAAATTACTCGACCAGTGTTGAGAGTTAGTTTTCTTAAAGTAATTGCCGCCGCTGGACACATTACTTGTGTGCTGGTTTAGAAGAAAAAGATAAAAGGCCAGGTTTTACTTGTGAGCTGTGCCTAAAGTTTACAACATATATTATTGTTACATTGTACACCCCAATTTGCAACTAGAATGGGGCAAAATGGTTTTTTTCCAAAGATTTTTAAATGTTAAATAATTTTGTTTTATTTTATGCAATTGACTATTTTTTTTGTCAGGAAGTAGTTTGTGTTGTATTTTGTCATTTAAAAAAGTTTTTATTTTAGTTAATTTTGCCAGTTTTTCGATGACTTTTCCTTAAGTACCCCATTATACCTCATTTCCCTATCATTTATATAAATTACAAACAGCAAAGATCAAAGTATTGATCCTTGTGGAACACATCAACATATTAATTTAAATCGTGTGCATAGTAAATTATATGGTACTCCTTGTTTACGATTTTCTAAATAACATTGCAGCCACTTAAAGTTAGAGTGAACTACTCCATACTTGTGTAGTTTATAGATAAGAATCTTGTGGTTGGTAGTATCAAATGCTTTAGATAGATCTAGAAAAATTTCGAGTGTGTAACTATTTTTTTCAAAACCATTCAGAATTTGATTCGCAAGATCAATTGCATGCAAAGATCACTGCATGTTCCGTGGAATGGTTTTTCGAAAAACCAAACTGTTTATGATAAAAAATGTTGTTTTTTTTCAAGAGTACAGTCTGTTGTGCATAATACGCTCTAGTATTTTGGAAAAACAGGAAAGTTTGGAAAATTGGTCTTTAGTTAGAATGTATCGAGTCATCGCCGCTTTTGTATATCAGAATTATTTTTGCTAATTTTAATTAATCAGGAAAAATCCCGTCTTATAGAGAAAGATTAAAAATTATAAAAAGAAGTATTTCTGTAATATCTGAGGCTGCTTTAAAAACATTTCACCCTTGTGCTCTTATTTGTTTTCAGCATACTTATTGCCGAAGTTCATCAACTGAATGCTCCGATTCATCCATGAAGGAATCTAATTTTTTCAAGAAAGATTTATATGATTTTTTTCCCTCAGAAAGTTCACTGGCTAGTTTTTTCCCTATATTTATGAAAATGTTATTAAATATCTGCAATTTAAACATCTGCAATTTCATTATTTTCAAAAGCATCACCTCTAATATCATCTCTTTGTAATCTATTCGGCAAATTTTAATTTCCAGACATCCCACTCCTGTTATTTCTTTAATTACATTTCATGTATTTATTTCTAAATGTTTTATTAAGCAAAGAATACTAGTAATTTTTTTTGGATTTCTTTTGTTTTTCAAAAGAATTTTTATATTTTTTGTATTTTATTTCAATTTTTGTAGTTCTTTTGTTATAAAAACTTTTGGTACAATCTTGTTTCTTTTTTTACGACTTAATGAGTCCTTTTGTCATCCACGGACTTAGCAAATTTTTATAACTATTCATTCTTTTTAATTTTAGAAAGAATTTTTCGTATTGCTTAGAGAATATGGTAATAAAAAAAATTGTAGCCATTATTTACGTCATAGCAATCAGTGAATAGTACCCAGTTTACTTCTTGTAAGAAATCGCGAAACTTGGGGAGTAATTCATTATTTATTTTTCTTACATATACAGTTTTTGTTTATTTTTTTTTCAGGGGTTTTAAAATTTGTAATCAGAAAAACTGGAAAATGGTTAGTGATATGTATTTTATTAATACCACTTTGCATTTTAGCCCTTGTGTAATTATTAGTAATAATATTATTGATAATAGATGGAGTTTTTTTTGTTACTCGTGTTGGCTAGTTAGTCATGAGGAAACGCTGTATTGCAAAAGTGGATTTATAAAACGCTCAACGTCTTTATCTGTTTTAATATTCAAATTAAAATCACCCTATAAGTAAACGTATTTTTTAACGAGCTTTGGTAGCACGTAATTTAAATGTTTTTCAAAATGATTGTAATTTCCATTTGGTGGTGTATATAATTCTGTTTTTATTTATTTTGTTAATTATTTCAATAAAAAAAGATCACAATCAATGTCATTTACTCTGAAGTTATCAATGTCATTTAATCTGAGGTTATCTACATGATTAAAAGTCAATGAGTTTCGGACAAAAATAGGTATGCCCCCTCCAATACCGTTTTCTCTTGGAAGAT